GTTGCTGAATATCGCCAACTGTCGCTTTGTCGGCTGACCTGACTTGTGGGCTCAACGGTGGGCAACTTTCTTGATTTCCGACATACCCTCCTGAAATGGGCTATTATACCACATTTGAGACACTGTTGTTTCACTCCAGACAGTTCTTCCGTCCATCAGGATGTGACACACTTCCACACCCTTTGCATGTTGTACGTGGTGGGATCTCAGGGGCACCGTCAGCCTCCGACAGTTTTTTCAGCTTGGACTTCAAGGCATCTAATGTGAGCTGGGCTATATTATTTTGTAAGTGGGGTGTTGATTTGTCCGTCGTTTCTATGGAGACCAACCTGCTGAACTTTTGCTCCAGCGAGGTAAGGATATTAGCTTCGGCTAACACTTTACTTTTGTGTTCATTGTTGGTAAGTCCTGCCACAAGTTGACCGGCTACCATATTGTCTGAGTAGTTCACCTGCCATTTGTAGCTCTCGTTCAGACATTGAATGGTAAAATCACAGAACTTCGCTTGTGACCGTAATTTCGCCAGGAAATAAGTGACGGGTTCCCCCTCCTGTTGCCTCATGTTGTGGAATCTTTGTCGGAGCACTTCCTTGTGCACACCTTTAACAGCGATGAGTCGTATCTGACAAAGGTGCTGCTGTCACTGGTTGTGTTGAGGTCTTCTGCTTCAACCAGCTCGAACAACATTCTGTTCACATCGGTAGAACAAATGCTTCTCAGCTCATTCCGAATTTCGTCTGGCTCTGTTATTTTACACATATCCTTGTATCGATTCCACAAATCAACAAACAACGCCCACTCACTGTCAGTCGAGCCCTGTTCTATAATGGGTCTTTCTGGTGGCTTAGAAGCCGATCTCACTTGAACCTTTCCTCGACGAAGTTCATTATTTTGCTTCTGCAGCTCTATTAACTGCTGAACAAGCTGTAAGTATTTGGCATCTATGGCTTCTTGTCCTGAAGAAGATGTTACTCGATAAAGTTCCAAATATCTCTCTTCAAAAATGAAATTCGCCCACTGGTTAATCCTGTTCACAGTGCCATGTAACATGTAGACTGCTACGTCACACAGTGTGTAACCAAATGTCCGGGTGCTGTTCGCTGTATTTATATTCTTTTACATTCACTGGGTTTTCATTCGGTGAACTATTTTCATTGGTCCCGTCTCTTTGGTTGTCCTCTTCTCTCTACAGTATACAAAAAATATAATAAATTACAAACATTATGTCTACTTATTTTTAGCATAATCTTTTCATATTCACACAAAAAGAAAAAATTCACTACACATAGTTTTTGCACCCCTGATGATCTCAGAAAGAGATAGAAAGTACTTGTGAAATAAAAGTGATTTTTACTGTTACAGTGCATTTCTTGCATCATTTGATTTTAATACACAGAAAAATATCTATGAATATGAAAGGATTATGTTAAAAATAAGCAGACATAATGTTTATAATTTATTTAATCAGATATGCCTAAAAGAGAATTTGCTGCCTAAATAAACAAAAAATAAAATCTATACAAAGTTATAATAATTTTAAAACAGTAGGTGTTGGTGGTTTTTGCACCCTTAAAAAAATGCAGTGGCGGGGGACACAATTCTAGATAGAAATTAGCATGGTAAAGGTTAAATAATCAAAAACTACTTTGATCCTTCCTCTTAATAATAGCATAACAATTTTGATGATAAAACTATGTTTTCATTATGTTTGGAGCATGTTTTTCTTATGGTATGCTGATTTTTAAGTGATCTTGTCGAGGTACCTATTTACCTACTATTGAGGAAACAATACAAATAATACTTTTTGAAATACTTCTCAAAAATTGACCTTAACAATGGTAAGCCTTGTTAAGTTCCATCCTGATTCTAGAGAAATTACAACTTTTGCAACTACCAGCTTGTTTCACATTTCTCAACTGGAGCAGCTACTTGTTACATGCGGTGAGATCAGGACAGCAATAAGATGTGACCCAACCCTTTCACTAGTCCTGGAGAAAGTGCAAAAAGGGTGGAGTGACGAGGATAAAGAATGTCAACCTTACTTCCCAAAAAGGTATGAGCTGTCAACCTCATAAGGAGTACTGGAGAATGAGGGAAATAATACTTTCAACCCTACGAGAATGGATGCTAAAAATGTTGCATGAGGAACACTTGAGAATAGTTAAAAATGAAGGCACTGGCTTGATGTTATGTGTAGTGGTTTTCAATCGACCAAGATATTGACCTCATAACCAAGGAATGTGAAGGGTGCTAAATAAATTTAAATATGCCTGTTTACATCCTTGTAAATGGCCAAGTTTACCATAGCAATGCGTCCATGTACGTTTTGCTGGGTCATTTAAAGGACTCCTATTTTTCATCATGGTAGGTACTCATTCTGAGGTATTTATTATAAAGAGCACTATGGCCACACACATGATACAACTGATGATAGAGAAATATTTGCTCACAATGGAATAGCAATGCAACTGATCTAGGACAACAGATATATCTGTTGGCTGAGTGGTTTGTACAAACTTTAAAACAGCTTCAAGGCCCTCAATTGACCAAGATATTGACCTCATAACCAGCAATGTGAAGGGTGCTAAACAAATTTAAATATGCCTCAGCATGCCTGTTTACATCCTTGTAAATGGCCAAGTTTACCATAGCAATGTGTCCATGTAGATTTTGCTGGGTCATTTGGGGTTTACTGCCAAAGAAAAAGTTGGCAAACTTTCTACTGATGTACAGAAATACACCTAATACAATCACAGGAGAGAGCCCAGCACTGCTATTCATGAAAAGAACACTACAGTGCATGATCGATGTAATAAAACTGAATATTGAACACAGTGTTGTGGACAAACTCTATTCCTCATGGTGGATAATAGAGGCAAGCAATGTGACTTATCAGTTGGACAGTTGTGTCTTCATGAGAGACTATAAAGGAAGTTTAAATGAAAAGAAGGCATAGTATTCAAGCAACTGGATCCATTGAACTACTTTATTAAGGTGGTTGAGAATGGGGAAGCACCACATAAACCAGATTTAGGAGCCCTCTGGCTGTAGGCAAGTGGAACTGGACCTCTCACCCAAAAACAATTGGGTTGAAGCCAACAGAAACTGAAGCAGCATGACAACCATCACTTGACCATCAGTCAACAACAGACTGGAGTTGCCACCTCATTAGTCAAGCAAGTAGTGGAGGCAATAGTTTGAGACAAAGCAGGTCCCAAGGGAACTGAAGCAAAAAAAAATCCCTAAAAGACTAGACTTATAAAACATAAAATAAACAATTATTAAATGATGTATCACCACAAAACCTCCCTAAATAATAAAGTTAGTTTTGTTTATCCAGGGGAATTGTAAAATATTAGCACATACATCAACATATCAAACTAACCTATGTAAATATAGCTTCTACTAACATTACTAACATACAAAACTAACCCCCTAAAAATATGATGCTTGCTTTTACATCGAAAATAAAGCAGTTATATTTAGCCCATCAAGTCGTTTGATCGTTTCTTATTTAGGCCTTATTTTCCTTGTCATTTACTAAACCCTAACCAGTATACAACAATCCCCCTTAAATGGAGGGAAGATGTATTTCCAATGAGAATTTCTATGTTTAATTAGAATCTCAGATTCATAAGATTTCTAATAGTAGTAGCAGAAGCCAACACATCTGATTAATGCAATGCATATATTGTCCATGTAAATAAAATATATTAAGCCATATATATGTGACTGTTTTTTCTTTCAATCACTTTGAAAATTATACAGTGAACATTTCAAATCAAAATTCAGTTAATATTTGTGGTAGGCTAAGGACTTAGTGATCCACTTTCAGACATTACTTTGAGATTCAGTTATTAAATGTATATTTTGTATTTTGAACACTTGTTCATTATTGCATTTAATTATTCACAATTGCCATTGTTAGCATATATACATAATTCAGTTGTGAATATTTGAAATATACTGAACATGTTATACAATCACTGAAGAAATATTTAATGTTTTCTACAGTATGATAATACTGTTTCCAATAAAACTGTTACAGAAAAAGGAAATAAGTTATCTAATCAAAACATATTGCAAGAATACTTGAATGGAAATATATTAAAAGGAAAAAATGACAGAAAATTAATCAAAAAAAATATAGGTATTTTTACACCCTGTTGATGTATCAGAATCTTCCATATATTTTACGTGTGGTTACATATATATGAAAACATGCTCTATAAATTTATTTAAACTGGAGCATGTGTTCTTTTATATAAACAATTACAGGAGTGATGGTCTTTAAGCTATATGTACACAAGTACTATAGTGTTACAGAAGTAAAAATGAATTCAAAATAGAGCAGGAAGTATTGACTTAAATAGACATTGAAAAATATATTTAGTGTACTTTTTCTCTCAGCCTACCAGGAAAATTAATTTATGAATGAACTATTGAAAATGAAAATTGACACATTAATATTTTTTTTCTATTATTTTTCAAAACCATATTGTTTACATCTAATCTAAATTTGGTTTGTATGATTTTATAGATAAAATCCTTTTAAAATAGATTTTGTTTAACAGTTACTAAATATATATAAGTATAAAATATGGTCTGCTTAGTAGTTGCGAATTTCCCATTCTATCACTGGGTTGTATTTGAATTCCACTAAAAACCAGGATATCACTATTTACAAAGAATTAGTTTTGCCTGATATAAGAGCATATGACCAATCAGTACAGTAGTAATGATCCTCTTAGTTAAGGAGGAAATTCCCAATAAAAATCAGGATATGAAATAAGATTTTCAAGGTATCTCCTCCTCACTGGGTACATTACCTCAACACAATCATTCTTTACCTTGTCTTAAACTAAGCTAAGCTTAATAAATATACATGTACAGTGTATATGTGCTTTTATATATATTTACAGTGAATTTAGTAAGTCTAAATTTTTTCCTCTTATTGATGAAATTATTTTTTCAAGAAGATGCTTTTTATATCTTTTTAGGTTTATCTCTATGGCTATCAATGTCACCGATGTTTATTTGGATTTTCATCTTTTTTACAAGGCCCCATAAGGTTTGTTATGCATTCTGTAAAATAGATCTATTTTCCAATGCATTATCATTGATTTATAAATTACTGAAAATAAACAACATGTAAAACTAATTACCAAACATTTACTTTTCTCATTACCATGATCATTAATTATAATGACATTTTTAAGCTAGTTTATATATTACTCCCATCTTTATATCTCTATACAATACATCTTTTTAATTGTTTTTATTTTTTGTATGTCAACATTTTCAAAGTATTATCTTGCAGTTTGTATGTGTAAGCACAAGTTGAATTATGAACATACAGAAAAAAATGACCAAGAAATAAACACATTTGATTTGATCTATGGTCAGCTATTGAGACATAATGAATATGATCTAATTATCCTACTACATTTAAACAACTGACTCTGTTGTATGTCGGGTTTGATTGCTAATTCTAGTTATAGATATGAAATTGTCAAAAATCTATGCTTTCTGTAAAAAAACAATTTTAACTATTAAAATTAAAGTTTCGTCTTTAAATATAGTATAAAAAAAGCTATATATATTTTTTAAAATGTTTTCATGCTGGCTTAAATTAAAGTTAATACAGAAGATGTTATTTTTTTTATAGAAGTTTGCAGTTTTTCTTTTTTTTTTTCAATCATGTTCACTCCAAGCAAGGCAGTAAAGTCACTAAGATACAAGGTGTTACTGGGTGTGAAAGAATTAGAAAACAGAAACATTACTAAGGAGAGAGAACTAAAGAAGAGCAATCAGGAGGACAGTAGATAGTGACTGACATTGTATTTAAATTTTTAAAGATTAAAGGCTAGAAAGTATGGAACTGGAAGGGAATTCGACAAGTGAGAAGTGTAAGAAAAGAAACTATTAGCATAGAGCTTACAATTAAATCTAGTCAACTCATTTGTAAACTGATGTGACCATGTCGCTAGTCTAGTACTATGATTAAATTAAAAAGTCTAGGTACCATAGCAAAGAGCTCATTCAAACAATTACCATGAATGTATTTACAGAAAATGCACAGGGAGCCAACTTTACAGTGATAGGAAAGTGACTGAAGCCAAGATACCAGATCAAAACCAATAATATTGCTGATTCTTTGTTTTTATCAAGGAGCTCTAGATGAATAACTGAAGTACTGGACCTTATGTGGCAGCAATATTCTAAGCATGGGTGACTGGTAAACCTATAGATATGTAAGATAGATTCTGGAGAGAAAAATTGTGTAACACAACACAGTGAACCAACTTTCTTAGCATCTGACCTAGCAATGGATTCAATATAGTCTGTTCACTTTATGTTAACTGAGAACATTTGCCTGAGAAGTCGTAGCGAGTTACTCTTGGAGGTTAGGATGTCCCATGCTTGATAGCAGGCAGAAAGAGGTCTCTCAGATTATTAATAGAGGTCAGTTTAGTTTTGGCGGCATTGAAATTAACAAGCTATCTTTTACCTCATTTAACAACAGACTGAAGGTCATTTTGGACATCAACAACCAATTTGACTTTATCAAACTGATCAGATTTACTATTGAAACAGGAGTAAATGATTGTGTCATCAGCATATATACCAAGCTGATGCCATTGCGAAAGTCATTAAGGAAAATTAAAAACAAAGTAGGTTCAATGATAGAGCCCTGGGGGACACATGTGTTAGCATGAAAGGATCTAGAAGAGTAACTGTTCAGGATAACTTTCATTTCATGACTGGGTCAGTTCAAAAATTTGTGAAGAAGACCTGTATGCAAAACACTGTTGAAAGCTTTTGAGATGTTATACAAAAATTTCAGTAAAGTTAATTTTAATATCCATTTGAAAAATGTTAATTTCTTCAATCCAGAATCAATTGGATATGAATAGATACACTCACTTTCACTATTCATTTTTGGCTACTCTATTATTCAGCTTCTTTTTTTTATTCCTTTTCACAACATTCTATATCAAACAACTATGAGCATTAAAGTAAGTTGTGTAAAGTAGGAATAAAAATCAATGAGACTTAATGTGTATGCTATGTTCCAAAAACTGATGTTTCATAGATGGCACCTCAATGTGTTCAGTAGTAAAAGGCATTAATATTTTCACTATCTGTGAGCATTAAAAAGTGTTAATTATGTAATTTATCCTTTTTGAAATTTGTGTTTATTTTCTTCATTTCATCTCTTACACACTACTTCCACTTTCCAACAGTGCCATTTAGTCTCTGAGTAATTCTCATTATACTATTCTTGGCCTACATATGTTAAAAATGAAAAAATAAGCATATCAGATGTTTATAAATATTTTAAGATGATCCAGAATTACTCAACTTATTCAGTCCTTAGCAGAAATAAAGAGGCACAGATTTTATAGTTTTTTTGTAATTGGTTTACTGAGTCAATAGCTCTTTTAGTTATATGATTAAATTATGATGCCAACATTAATTAGAGTAAGTCTGTTTATTGTTATTGACTACTAATAACCAGGCTTCAAAGGAAAAATGGAAGAGTATGGATGCATCATTGATCTTTTCAAGCATCACTTTGTGTTTTAGATATTTCAATGAACACTTTCATCTAGCTGATACAACTGTGGTTGATCATAGCCTTGCATCCAGCAAGTGCTTTCCTCTCCTAATCCAACAGTCATCTTGAAGCAGATTGAATTGTCAACTTTGGTCCTTTGCTTACTAGCTCCTCTAATGCTCAATGTGCTACAGACCCTGCAGAGGGACTGGTTTATGAAACCTCACCCTCCACTGCATCCCACTTTGCAGAGATTGCATTGTGCTACTCTCCTACTCTAATGTTTGAGTCATTTAAGCTGATAACGTTTTCTTACTCTGTGCTTTTTGCCATCTGAAGATTCTGGGTACTCTAAGATGACTATGGGCTGCATCTCACCAGGAATAGTTCCTGTGCACTGTGTAGCTTGTACGATCTACATGCATTTTATATTGGCTTAGTAGATCTTCAGATCATGTGGAATCTTGCCCACCTTCCTGCAAGCCAAGCACACTGTATACTCATAATTCCTTCCACTTGTTGCAATCTCTCTGAACAAGCCACTGTTTCTCCAGTTGTTACCACTCTGTTTTAATAAATTAATGGTTAAAATAAATACTGATATTAAAATTCTTAATTTTCAATATTCTTAAACTTTTTGTGATATCTGTCTATATTTTCTTTGTCGCCATATTTATTACGTTTCAGCCATTGTACGCTCTGGCCTTCTTCAGGTGTTTGGAATGTTGAACTAAACCCATTATTTCGCTTACTGGGGTAGCCTGTTCTAGTTCCACGTGCCATGTTTAATGGATGTCAGTTGTCAGTTATCTCCTGTTAATTGTCCTCTCCAAGTTCTCCACTGCCTTAACTGGGTATTAAACTCACACTCTTTGGGTCCTGTCACTGGATCTAACTAACACCTTTATCCACTGTGCCATGTCCGCAAGGACAAAGCAGTGGAGAACTTAGATTCTATATTTATATATATATTAATTAGATTCTTTAATTCTATATCCATTATTTTCTATAATTAGTTTGCATTACATTGATATCTTTGTACTGGCAGTTTTTATGTTGTATGATTTTAAAAGAATTATATTATAGAAAATTTTAAAGACCACTGTATGTATACATACATTTGTTAGAATTCAGAGCCACCTTTCATCAACTGGCCATTGAAGCTACTATTAATTTGAATGGTTGCAAAAACCATTTAGAAAATCTTTAAAGGAGTTTAATTGATGATAACTTTGTTTCTAGGAAGAGCGTTTCCTTTACCCAATTTATCCTTTTTTTGCCTTGGGAGGGGCTGTGGCTGTCATATATATTGAGGTAAGTACTGTTTTTTTTTTGTTTTTTTTTTCTTACAGTGAGGTTCACTCTGTACAAGACTCAGAAGCCACTAGTAGAGGGTTACAGAGTAAGAGGCACAGTTTATGAAGATAACAGTTAACACTAGACTTGAACAGGTTAAGATTGTATTGATTGGGAAAACATCATCTTGGGAGTCGTTTCCATAGAGTAGTGTTTTGTAGGAAGAACCTACTTGATTGGAACTTACTTCTCACCAGTGGAATATGGAAGGAATCAGAGTGGTTCATTACAATGTGCATAATATGGCAGGTCCTAGTTGTGAAGGTTAGATAGAACTGGTGGGACTAAAGAATGTAGTTCACCAGAGCACTTTCCATGGAAGTAACGAAAGTACAGTGAGAGGCTTGCAACATCTCATCTGTGAGAAAATGGTTGTAGTGTAGAAAATAATTTGTCACCCACAAAGATGTGGAGATGCTTTTGGACTTTATCAATACTGGAAAGTGAAGACTAGCCAGCTCCTGAACAAATATGACAGCAGTACACCATTTAAGGCCTGTTCTGGCTCATGTCAATGTAGAAGATAGCACAAGGAGTCAGGTACTTACTGGTGTGGTTCAAGGAACCAACCATTTTTCCTGCATCTTTAGCAATGGTCGTATGTTGGAGTTCCACTTGAGGTCTGTCCCAGTAGTCATTCAAGACATGGGCCTCCCTGAGAGAACATCTATTCATCATGACTGGTGGTAGTTCAGGGTCTGATTGGCAGTGATGTAATATAACTAGTTTGGTTTTTGAGGCACTGAATGTAACCAGCCAGTTTTTCTCCCCACTGAGATGTTAGAGCTAGATCAGAGGAGAGATCAGCTGCCAATTTCTGGTCATCTAGAGTTATGTAGCATATTCAGTTAGAATTCATAATTATTTTTGTATGGTTTCATCTATTTGTTATTAAAAGATTTCAATAAAATGTATTCCATAATAAAATAGAGCAATAATGTACAAAAAATAATCATTTTGGCTGTTTCTAAATCTCAAACAATTGAAAATATTTAAAATTTGCCTCAACTTATATAATTAAATCATGAGACTTTTTCCATTATTATAATTAATGTACATGGGGTGTGCTGAAAAGTTCCAAAAAAGCTAATGGTTGGTTATTTGGTCAGATTTTTGGAAGTAGGCCTCACCAAGAATTTTTCAGTACCCCACCATATATCTTACATTTAAACATTTTTCACTATAAAAAATTACTGCATAAAAACAATACTTTTATACACAATATTTTAAAATGTATAATGTTAATTTCAAAGAGAATTTAGCTAGTTTATTTTTATTTAGAAATTGATTTATAAAAAAATATCTTATAATCTATCATATAAAAAATTCACTGTTTTTATGGCTCTATTTCTATAATCTTTTTCAGAGTACATTTTGTACATATTTTTCATCTAAGAAAGCTACATGCAACCTGTCATTTAACTGTCATTACCGTACTGTAACAGTTGTTTTTACCACTGTGTTTACATTATTATCTTTGTCAAGGATTTTTCAACTATATGAAGGTATATACTTTGCTGTTTTTATTTCATTTTATGATGTATTATTTTTTTGTTCTGGTTTCTTTTGTCAAGCATTATTGTGTGCTTAAAAAACTTTATTCATCTTTTTTATATTTCCACTGTAATTTTGGAAAACAATAAAGTAATCCACTGAAACATAATTAGAAATAATTTTGTAGTGTAAATTATCTATTAAATTTAGTTAATATTCTATTTCAATTTTATTTAATGATGAGTATCAGTATTGATAGTAAATTTATTAATCTTTACTTTGTTGAAATTGCAGATGCCCTAGTATTCATAGTATTATTTTTATCTGCATACTCATTTTAGATGAGTTTTTAGATTTTAAAATACTTGGAAAATCTTCTTCATTTTTATTTAATTTAATCTTGCCTTGCAAAATTGAAATTGTTGTTGGGATGAATGAAAACAAATGAAAATAAGACAAGTATAATTTAACATGTAATAAAACAACTTTTATTCATTTACTGTCTGAGAACAGCAACGATTTATTTGGATTGAAACCATGAATTCCACATACTTAATTCAGAAGTGTTGTGCTCATCTTCCAGATAAGGGAAGCAACTCAGTTGTATTTTGAGTTATCAACCTTTATAGAGGAAGGGAGTTATCTTCCTCTAACACCTTCCTTTTTAAGCCTTGTGCTTGTATTACTTTTGTCGGGGATTTAATTGCAATGGGTATAAGCTTACTTCATAGTTGATGTGATTTCTTTGGTGCACTTTTTGCAGGAGTCCTATGTTTTGTCCCTTTGCATTACTTGGGAACTGTGTTGAGGCAGTTCAAAGGTGTCCAATAGAATGTCCATCAGTACAGTGATGTTTAATTTGTTTTCTGGATGGTTGGATGGCCGTAATAGGTTCACATGTCAAACTCAGACTGAATATCCACATCATATATAACATATCCCTATAATGTATCCCTAGATCCATTTTTCTTTACCATTGTGGTAATCTTTTGTAAGTACAGGTTGTCCTGGTCATTTTACTGATCCATGATGATGATTAAATTGTTCTTCCATCACCATGTTCCTTTTCAGGGAATGGTTTGTAGTTGGATAGATGACATCTATATGAAAACAAACTTTATAGCTCATCAGTGATTCTGCTGCTGAATTTCCATTAGGTGCGTTTAAATTTGGTTTCTGAGGAATATTTCTAATATTTCTTGTATGGTTCCCTCCCCTTTGAGTTTGAGGAGTGCCCTCTTAAAGGTGTCTACAAAACACTCCACTTGTCCATTTGATTGTGTCCTAATGTGTTGAATACCATTCTGTGCACAGAAAGTTAAAAATGTAGCTGAAGTGAAAGCAGTGCCATTATCAGAAATTAGTATCTGTGGGATTCCAAATCGACTGAAGGTTTGTGTTAATCTAAGAATTGTTTCATTCAAGGTGATGCAATTCATCTGAAAAATTTCTGGCCATTTTCTGTAAGCATCAACGAGGATAAAATAACACTGTCTCTTAATGGGTCCAGTGAAATCAATGTGAAGGCATGACCAGGGTGATTCCGGGATAGGCAAGGAATTCGGTGTAGTTTTCCTGGGAGATTTTGCAATTCCTCCAACATCTTGTCTATGTTTTGCCAATAAACATAGCTGCATACTAGGGATTTCATACACTAATACTAATAATGGCCATGATAGAATTGCTTGATCACTTTCATGTAATGAAGATAGGACAATGAAGATTCTGCAAAAAGAAAACATCCGTTGACATTTGACAATGAAGATTACCAATGAAAGAATGGCTGAATTCTTTTGTCAGTACTATTTTGTATGATGGAAGCATATCACTTTTTGTAACACTGGATCAGAAGCTGTGGCTTCAAGGATCATTGTAGAAGTGACTGGTAATGCTCTTACAGTGGATGCAAGCGCTGTAATGACTTTTGGCTCGATTGATAATACTGTGATGACTAAGTCTTCTGGTACTTTATTTTGTGTAGTCATGAGCCTAGGTAATGCATCAGCATAACCAATTGTATTGAGTGAATTGTATTTTATAGAAATCTAACAGCATTGTAATCTAACAGCATAGAAGCCCATCTTTGCTGTACACACTGGGATGCCTTTTTAGATTAAAAAAACTAACAAGAGGCCTGTGATCAGAGTGAAATGATTATCATACAGCATTTTGTGGAACTTTTTAATAGCAAAGACTATTGCTAATGCTTCTTTTTCAATTTGGGTATAATTACACTCTGCAGGTGTCAGTGATCTAGATGCATGAGCTATTGCCTTTTGGCTGCCATCAGGAAAAATGTGAGAAATGACAGCTCCAATACCATAATTGGAAGCATCAGAGACTAAAACAATATCCATAGATGGGTTGTAGTGTGTTCAGCAAAAGTGTGTGAAGATTGGTCGGAGCACCCACAAAAAAAAAGGAAAAAACTATATGCAAGGTACAACAGGCAAAACAAATCCGCAATTATCTGCTTCTCAATCTCAAATATGCCACCCTACATAAGAAGTGAGACTCCCCTTGAATGAGCGCCCAGAACCAGCCAATAAAAATTGCTACAAGTGACACCACCACTTCCGTCAACATGAAGTGCTGCCCGATTCTGAAGCTTGCAAATTTACCGTCTCCACACTCCATTGCAAAATATACACACAACTCTGGCCCTTTGGGTCACCGAAGTAAGTCTCCGCTACACTCCCCCACTGATCTCCTGATCACAGCTGATGCATCCCAGGGCAGGTCTCTTCTGTCAGGTACTCCTTTGAAGTGAAATGATGTGTGTCTCGTTCTCAGATGAACTACTGCCTGGCTGGTCATTGGGTGCTTCAGTCTCTGAACTGCTGGTTATCAAAGGAATTACCTGGCAAACTTGCTTCTAAGTATACAAATCATTCACTCTCTTCAGTGTCACTATCGGAGTCTGATGATGGATATGATCCCAGAAAAGGGCGTAAATTCTTCATGTGCCATAGTATTCCATCAATCTGCACCGACTGTGAACTTATCACTTGTATCATGAGGCCTGTTTTGAATTTGGTTGTGCATCTACCATGTGGAGTCTTTACCTAGATGATGTCCTCTTCTTTTTATGCCCCTTGAATGTCTTGTCATTCAAGTGAGGGTGTGGCATCGATGTTTTGTACCCGGATGTAGTACCTATGCAGCATGTCGGCCTGTGCGGTGGAAGATGAAAGACTGTCTTTGGGAGTGACATTGTGCCAGTAAACTGCCTCTGGCACTGAACATTGCTTTCTGGCTGCAATGGTCTTGATACATCTGCATTTGATGATCCCATTCCCAGCTATTTAAAAAGTTCTTAAAGTGCTTACAAGTAAATGCAGTGTCATTATCAGTCAATATTTCAGTTGGTGGCCCCAGCACATAGAAAACTGATTCCAGCTGATGAATGACACTAGCAACACAGTGTCCGCCATATTTTGAACTGAGAGGGACCACAATCAATGAACATTAGAAAATGACCTCCTCCATAGTGGGTAATGCCTATCGCTAACCTTCTCCAAGTTAACTTTACACTCAGTGTTCCTTTCTTCCAATGCACCAGCGCTGGATCAACTGACTGGCAGGCTTTTACAATAGATTTGACAAGCTTTCTAGACACTAATGGGTGAAAAGACCTGGCAAAATATAAGGTCCTCTTTACACCTGGGTGGCCACTTTGGTGATGTATATAGGTCACCTGGTTCGCATTCAATCTACTCCCCACAGTGGCGCAGCCATTTAGCACTGGTTCTTCTTTTTGCCTGTGTAATCCAACCACCTCCATGGCACTCAAGTAAGGCAGTCTGCATGGTTTAGACAGGATTTTCACCAGTGTCACATCTATTGTCAAGGCATATTCCTCCGCCAATGCTCGCAATGTCTCTAAACACCATCTTACCAGCATCTCACCAGCCACCTTTGTGTTCACCCATGCCTTCCCAGTCAAGGTGTCATTGATGCATGCATGTCAAAACCGTAACCAAATGCAACACTAACACCCACCATTGAAGAGCCAGACTTATGCTTTTATCGCTACTCTGAACCATCCACACACACGGAAATCACCCACAAATTTCTCGCAGAGGGAAAAAATGCTCTGGCCAGTGATGATCTGTGAAATGTCCAGGACTTCACTCCCTGCTTCCATCAAAGGATGCTGTCCTTCCCCCAGATCTGCAGGCCCAGGACTTTGGCTCCGTCTTCCTATTGTTCTGGATCTTTACAGACAAGACCATAATTGGATAACTGCTGACATACGTGCACTGCAGAAACCAGTTTTTCATTGATGAATATGTCATTAATATATGTTGATGTGGCACTCTTAATCGGCTGGTCTTGATTCATCACTGCATTGATGACAGCTCTCATGATGAGCAGCACCACATTTAATCTGAAACCCAATCATGTAAGGCAAAATCATTGACCCTTAAAATCCACAGTCTGAAAGGGCCATAATGTCTTATCAACATGGATTTGTAAGTAGGCTTTTTTTAGGTCCAAGAGCAATACATCAGCTCCTTGTCGTCACCATTCTCTAAGCTTCTGCACGTACACGACTGCATTAGTGTTGAATGCCTCCACAAATTCATTCAATTTGCAATAGGTGCTTGAGCTCTTGTACAATCACCATCGGAGGAATCAAACCCTTGGGCGGGCCAAGCTCTTTCTCAGGATATGGCAACAACCAATTATTACGATGCCACAATAAGAGTTCTTTCTCATACGCATCCCAACCATGGTTGGGCACTGTGTATTCTAGCACCTTATTTTTTAATTCACCAGGTGTGTGACTACTTGTCCATTTCCATGAGGCAATCCACACCTTATTATTTTTGTCAAATGTCACACTAAAGTCGGGCTCATTGATAGAAATAGTGGCACAAAATTTAGTGAAAGCACACTTCACTCAGCCAGGTTAAGTGCATGCACCTGAGCTCCCTGATTGTGTCAATCCTGAAAATAAGATCATATCTCAACAATTGTCTGTCAACAATCATGGTCGCAATAGTCA